AATTTACAGTGACTTCAAATAGCTCAATGATCATTCTGCTAGGTCCTACCCAATTGTCCCATCTATCAGGATTTCTTGGATAGATTGTTCTACAGGCAAACAGGTGGAAAAGGTGCTGAACAAATACTTAACCTAGGTTGGAAGCACTAGGTAGTGCACAAGAAATTACAATACTAACTGATCAAATCAAGGATTGCAGTACTAAAAACTACATGAGAAAGTAGGAGATGACTGGACAATTAAAGCCATTCATGAATGAAATATTGATACCAAATGGAAAGTGAACAAGACATTTTTGATGTATTGAATAGGGAACCTAATCACATTCAGCAGAACTCCATCTTATATACTAAATGAATTGAGCAAATGGAGGAGTTGTACTTAAATAGGGGGAACTAGAGCATGCTGAAAATCTAGAGGCAGACCCCAATGGTCATATACAACCAGCAAGTAATTTTCTTTCAGTAAAGGACAAACAACAGATCTCTGCAAGAACATAATGATCCATCGAGATATCAAGAGGGGGAAACTAATAAGAGACCAAATCAAGTAAAACAAATCTAAGAATCACTTAAGTCAACACTGTCTTCTTCCATTAAGGGTCATCATAATAGACTTGTTTTAACCAAATGCTTAGCCATGGCCAAAGAAAATGACACATAGGCTATTTTTCCAAAAATCTTCCATTCAACTTCAATATATCTTCAAGAAACAAGAATGTGAAGTGTTCCAGATCATCAACCCAATCTTTGGTCTCGACTCTATCATCTTATTTTCATACCTGTTAAGAAAAGATAAGATACTTGTCCAATGGTATATCTGATATAAAATTAAGATTTTACTTCAAAAATGGTTTTTGAAACATAAAAGAACAGGACAATGGATAATAATAGTATGTAAAAGTACCAGTCACCAATCTTGAACAAAATGTAGCCAATTCTGTCTCGATAAAGTAAATAATAGAACTTAAAAACCCTGCTTCCACAATTAAATTATCAGAACTTCAATCCTGTTTTAGAAAGAAAAAGAAAACTGAAATCCAAATTAACGAAGTAAGCCACCTTGATTATCCATATTATTTATTTCCAACATGCATGTAACGGGTTGCTACGTTCTCACAGGCTCTATTAGATGTGCTAGAAATCACAGCAAGATAGTTAACCTTGGTTTCAGCTTGTCACCCTTTGCTTTGCGGACAATTCTTTCAAATTATTTCACATTCTGCATTAATCTAGAGGACAAATCTCTCTTAAACATTTGGTTAGGAGTTGCTTCCCAAAAATATTTATCGCCATAATTATCTCAAGCAACTGTGAAACATCAAACCTTTATATGTAAAGAATACATTTATATAGAACCACAAAATATTGCAGTAATGATTCTGGTAATGAAAGAAAGAAATACTCAACACCATTAAACAATTGTTTTCAAACAACTAGCTGCTAATCAGTGCAAGTAAAGAAATTAGTTAAAACTTTACTGTAAATATCCATTTCTCTACTCCAAAACAATAAACCAAACTAAATAGTTAAGCATTATAAAAGCTGAGATTCTCAGTCTCATCTTCTTCAATGAAAAGATCTATCTCCGCTTCACTAGTTTCCCCTAATTTGATTTTCTAACTGAAAATAGAACCTTCATTTATTAAAAAAGCGCAGAATAAATTATTTGCAGTCAAAATATATTCTCAAATTATCATATTAACTAAATACTAAAATTTATATATGAAGAATAACACATGCAAAGCCATAATCCAAACCAAAAAAAAATAAAACTTAAATTAGAAAGGAAAATTACCGGTCTTGCATTTGCAGTAGGATCTCTGAACCTCTCAATGGTTACAGCAGAGCCAGAGGAGTCCGAGTTCGTCCTAGTCAACTCACTTACACAAGCCTGGGGATCCGAAAACCGAGCCGGAAACGGATACTTGCACCGGAGATTATCCCCCATTGTATTTTTCTATTTTTTCGCCTCTTTCAAATCGCAAAAAGAAAACGTGAAAATTGTTTAATTTAAAAGAGAATTTTTCCTTCAATTTAGCAGAGAAAATCGAGAGAGAGAGAGCCAGAGAGAAGAGAGAGAGGCGGTGTTGTTGGGGCCAATAAAGGCTCCACATGGCGACGCTTTTACACGTGTCAATCCCATCAGATATGTGCCACGTCATCAGGAGCGATAATATCTTCGGCCAATGTCAGCCAGATATTTATTTTTCTTCCGCTTCCAGGCTACTCGCTTTCCAAATACCCAACTTAAAAACAAAAAAAAGTGCAGATTGGAATACTCGGTGGCTCGCAACTGTGCTCCACGCGCTGTTAATATTTGTGCATATTTGCGGGCATTGCGTACGGCGGTTTTTTTCTCAGGATTTGGACTTTGTTCCGACTCGGGGAGAGTTAAAAGTTAATCGCGTAATACATAACGCTTAACAAATCACGTAGGAACTTTCAAAAAAAAAAACAAATCACTTAGGAAAACCAACATTATAATTACGCATAATAATTGTTATCGTAAATACCTTGCACCTAAATTTTTTTGTAAATAAAATATGTTTATCTTTTTTGGTGCATAAAAAATGTCATTTTTCACTTTCCCAACATATATATAGTTGTCTTATTTGTGTGAATAGAATG